AGTTGTTCGCCATCACCTCAGCAACGGTATCAGATTGTACCTCAGCGAGGGCAGCACTTACTAAACCGAGTGCACACCTATTCCACATGAGGCAAGGGTGTCGTTTTGGGGATTTGGCACCGGATCAACACCAAGTGAGCTTTGTCCTCCTAGAATCAAAAGACCCCGAATCCCGTGAGTCGCGCACTTTGTAGTAGGCATTCCGTAATTGACTGAGCCGTGTGTTGTCGCTGTTGACGATCACCGCCAGGTAGTCCATGATGACTTGCGTATCCAGCATCGTGCGGAAACGACCCATAGCTTGCCACACCACCCTGTCACGCATCAGGAGCTTGGAGTCCTTGAAAGCCTTGTGCAACTTGTCCCTGTCAACGAAACCGACTAACCTTCCGATGGACATCACGTCCGCACCCAATCGCTCAAGCTGCATCCACGCTTCGTGTGCATAAGCCACTGCGGTCTGTCCGGCTTGCAAACTCTTGATCAGGTCGTCGCGCACCACCATCACCAAGCGCTCGCTTTTATTGCAAGCAGCTATGCGCTGAAGCGCAATGTGCAGCTCGGGCGACAGGCTCATGCTGAGTGCCTGCTGATTCCCAAACTGCCTTCCCTACTCGCCACACGGAGTTCACAACGGCCGCGCCGATGGCACGAGAGGCTCTGAAAACTACACCTGTATCCTACATAATATGCGATACGGTCACTGCATTAACTGTACCAACTTTTCTTTGGAAGCTCCTGCCAAGGTGATTTTCAAACTCGACACCAGAGTCTGCGTCACGGAAGATGCGAGCAAGATACCACGTACTAAACCGACCAAACTGACTAAGCAAAACTACGAGTTTATGCTAATCCTCTCAACAGCATCACGACAAGAACAGGATCAATTGTCATGATGCGTATCAGGAACCATGCGACAAGCAACTGCATCAACAAGAGCACGGGTGAACAACATCAGTGGGTGAACCATCAAGATAACAAGATACCACATCCCGTAGCTGGGAACCCCGAAACTCGATAGACCCCCTTGCCCTAAAGATCCCCGACCCCGAAACCGTTCCAAATCCGGCACTTCAGACCCTTATCAGGCCCCTGCCAAGCCCTTCTAAAACCAATTCGAAACCCATTGAACCCCGTCCACCTTGACCTTACTTATACTCCCAACCCAAACGCCGAAACCCGAAACGAGGGTTGGTGCTACCCCTGCCGCTTCAAGTTCAGCAAACCAAATGAATCGATTCCCAGCAGCAGCAGCGCTCACACCCAATGCCATTTGCCTTTTCGGAGAAGTCCTGAGTCAAAGCGTTCCAGGTTCCCGGACCTAAACAATGAGGGTGTCCTTTTCCATCAACGAAGCTTTAACAATGGGAAATCCAAGTAGTAGCATGAAGAGCAACAAAATACCAGTGACCGACTACATAAATTTCGGATTCGTTGGCTTACGAATTTGTGAGACAAGGTTGTTGTATGGTTCGTATCTCCGCAGCAACTCTGAAAAAAACAGGCTCGCCAGCATTCCCAAGAGGCCCCCGAGGAGAACCGTCTACACTCGCCAAACCTGATCCCGGTCCTCTGCTTTGAACTTAAAACCTAATTATGTTCTGTGGTTCGATGGGAGGTTCCTGGCATTTAAACCCCAAGTACAACTGTTTATAAGTACCCTACACCCTATACCCCGAAGACTCCAACCCCCGTAAACCCTAAACCACAAGCTGTGTTCCCGAAGCTCCGAAACCTGTGTTTCGGACCCTACCCATGCTTTTCCTTGATCTGCGATCCGCACTGTGGGGTGTACCCCTTTGCTGATTAGAGAACTACAGAACCTCGAAGTGCGCTGGCAGGGCCCACTGAAATTGAAGGTCTGCTTCCCAAAAACCACGATGCAAACCCTGCAGGCCAGGCTTGAATAGTTAAAAGAAGTAGGGTTTGGGGGGTTTGGCTGGCTACACGATGCCATGTATCCATGACAGACAATCCGACGAAGTATGCAGGACCCTATTGAGCCCACAACCTTCCTCCGCAAACGAGATGCTGTCCGCAGGAGGGTCGTGGAGAACAAATCGCTTGAAGGAGTTCGAGCCAGATGGAAGTTCGACCGAGTTTGCCATAAATTGCCAGGTTTGCCCTTCCCGTGTTTTGGGGGGGCCCCTTGAAAGAGTACTCACTGGCATGAGCGCCTCAGGCGTAGAATGTAGCGCTTGCGCAAAAGACCGTCACAGCGCTTAGAGTCGGAGTTCGACGAACCAACTTGCTGCTAGAGCTTGTGGGTGAGCTCAGCCAAATCTAAACCGTGAACCGCCTGGGGCAAACGCAGCATGGTGTCAACCGCTTGTCCGGAACCACAAACCCTCAACCCTGTCTCACACAGCATGAACTCCAACCGCCCAGAGTCAAGGAAGAAAACTTATGTTGAAGATTCCCTTCAAGCAAGGAGCAGCCCTCACAGATGTCTGTATAGTAACGTCTGTGGGATAATGCAGGGAATGTGCCACCTTTCGCGTCGGATTATTGCTCAGAGCCTCAGCATGTTAACAAATACTGTCAATTCAAACACCCTGTGAAGCACATGCGCTCATTCATTCACTCAAGACCACACCTGTGTGACCTACCCGTTGCTTTCCGAAACAATGCACCTGCTTCGAGTACAGCCGGGCCGAGGCGGACGACGCAAAGTGTCTAAACTAGCCACAATCCAAAAAGCAAAACAAAACAAGCGCGTAATTCATATTATATTCGTTGGGTATTCACTAGCCTTGAAACATGCCCGGTCAATCGCGGCCCTATAGTTGAAAGTGTCTGACGACTTCAGTTGTGGATGTCTTCGTTTCATAGAGGACCATCTAACCTCTACTCCTCGAGCCCTGCATGAGAGTCTCGGCAAATCAGCGGCGCTGCCAGAAGAACCCGAACTAATTGGTTTTTCGCTACAAGGTCTCCGGTCAGCAAGCTCTTGACACAATCCCAAACTGCACTCTCGTGCCTCGACCAGCGGACCATACCTGCATTGAGAGTCCGCTTCATCTCTGGGATTGTCCCGGTAAGGCTTAGGGCCCAGTTGAGGGTTTTGGGTCGAGTCTGTTCAGTATTACCAGTTTTTTTTATGAAGTGGATTATATGTTTGTTGCTTCGTTGAGGGGGGTGGCTTTGGGTATTCAACGAACGGTTACTCAGAGCTTTTTGCTAGGGCGCCGGTGTCTTCCATCCACCACCGCACTAACGCCTCCTGCATGCCATGTATTCCGTCTTATGCTTTAGTATTACTTGTACGTAAGTAGGGTTGTACTAAGCCGGTAGTCTCCCCACAACAGGACACAAGATACCTTTTGGAGGAGCGAGGCTTATACATGCCCACCAGCTCCCAAATAGTTACAAGCTGCTGATTCAACCCGTTAAAGGGCGAGGGTATGATTATATGGGACTTTTAGATAATAGAGGCCCGAACTAGATCCCTAGATACCCGGATCCATAGTTTCAGTGCCCTCAAGCAAAGCACCCCTTTTGTGAACCCCCCCATTATGTCCCGAAGAGGTAGGCTTAAGGGGCTGCTGAAGGTAGAACTTCCTAGCCGACGTCCTGCAGCCTCAAAACCCGCCACCCCTCCACTTCCACCTCACCAGGTCTCACTGCAGAGTGGGGGGGCCTCGTGTGTAAGACTCAAGGCTTAGGGTTGGGGTGTAGAGTTTAGGGCGCGTGGCCCTTGCTCGGATTCCCTATACCTGACCTAACCTTAAGTTCATGAGGACGGTGACGCTACACTTCCGGGCACTTGCCTGAGATGGCCACCCCGCCTGTCTGTGTAAGCTCGCACCACCGCCTGCAAGCGCAAGTAGTCGTTGACCTCAGAGCCAGGACTCAGGACTTCTGGCTCAGACTTATAAAACCTAAGCCCTGAAGGGTTGTAAATTATAAAACCCTCAACACACGAGAACCTCAAGCCTGAAACCCTAAGCCCTAAGCCCCCAAAGTAAGCAGGGCCAGGAGAAGTCCGCCACACCACCAGAACGCTTCACACCATCGTCAACATCGTCGTCATCGTGATTAGCCCGCATGCAGTTCAGGACACGTGTCAGCGAATTCACTACAGCCGTGAGCTCTGGGGGAGCGTAAGGGTTTCGGTTTTCCAAGATTTTTGAAGCTTTTTACAGTTGAAGACGATATAGATTCCCTAGACGCGGGCGCAAGATCCTTAGCCACCAGAATCAAAACTTTGGCCTCTCCTCATCTGAAGATTTTATCACTACTAGGCCCAAAAACACAACGAACCGCGTTAGCCCTAAAGCCCCAAACCCTGGTGACCCTGATCCCTCAAGCCCACGACTCCTAAACTGTTGAACCCTATAACCCTCGAGCGTAACCCTCGCGGCTTAAACCCTCTAGCTAAACTACCGTAAAAACCCCAAATCCCACAAGCCCCCACACTCTTAAACCGACGAAAGCTCTCCTAGGTAAGAATGCTATAACATATCCCCTAAGCCACATTCTCATTCTTGAGCCCTGTGCAGCAGAACCCAAACTGCTCGCACGAGTCGAAGAAGCCCTCAGCGAAATGGTCAAAGGAAGCCGACAAAGGAACCCGCCACATCGGTTACCCGGGACCCGAGCGAGGCTTGCAGTCAGCACAGCCTGCACAGCAAAGAGTTTGGTGCGAGTTACGGGTAAATTGCATTGCAACGGGTATATAGCATCGCAACCAAAGCGGAACCAAGGTCTTGAACCAAGCTGGTTACATACAGTAAGATTCGGGAACAACCCTGACGTGTGCAAAGCATCTAGGCGCCGAACCCCTGAGGCCGAACCCCTGAGGCCGAAACCCTAAGGCCAAAATCCTGCACAGGTCTTGAATTTTGGATTCCGGGCTCCTGAACTGTGCCCCGCGGTTCCCGAAGTTGATTTATCATTTATCAGCCTCGAATTGGCACAGTCGTTCCTGAATTCCATGGCCGAACTCTGAGAACAGTTCCAAAACTCATCTAGCAAACAACATCGAAACGGCTATGACGGCTATGAATGGGAGCACCTCGACTAGGTTACTTGCAGTCCCGGCGGAGCTAGCCCAACGTCAGTAGCCAAATGCTCGTCGCCCCTTGCCCAAGAGCCTTATAGGCCTAAACGGTATATAGCTACAGACACACAGCAAATGCTCAATGCAGGCCAAAACTCAAAGTTCACAAAGCCCATGTTCCTCAAAGCCCTGCTTCTGAAACTTCAAAACAGCTACAAACACGAACAAAGACAACAGCCGCCAAAGTACTCTTCCTAACGCCCTACTTAGGCCCTACTTGTTTAAAACCCTGCCCTAATTGGTTCTCCCCCATCCCTGCCGCCCAACCCTACGCCACTGAACAAGATCACCACAACAAAAAGCTATACAAAAACAAGCTCAACACCAGGACCAAAGCACCCCAAACGGCCCAAAACAAAAAACAACACACACACACACACCTACACCCTAAACCCTCAACCCT